GGGTTTTGAGGTCAGAGGGGGACAACTAACGCGATAGTTGACGGAGGCCCTCATCAGCCAGTGTGTACTTGTCAAGCGAACGGCACCATGTTATGCGAGTGGTGAAAGCAATTGGGCCTACGTGCACACGTAGCGGGTTCCAGCTGTCGCGGGATGGCAGCAAAAACGAAGCAGACACTCAGTGACAAACATGATTCGAACTTCAGCTCAAGTCCCTCGAGTGTTGTAACCCTCCGTATGCATAGCGTACTCCTGTATCCTTCGTGACGGTTAAGGTCCAGGTTCCCAATCCAGTTGGAAATCGGATTACAATGAAGGACCGTACATGGACTGTCATAGTGCTGATTCATCCAATTTCTGTTTTAGAAAATTCATGCACACGCAGTGGCATAATAGGGTAAAAAAAGTTGCCGGGACTGTGCATGCATAGTATCCTACACACAGTACTTCTTCCGTACATGTGTGCTGTACTAGGAGGAAGTTATGCCATTTGTAGAATTCATGCATGCTGATATCTTTCGACTGCTTGACTTAATTTATTCGAATCAGGGTGAAGGCCACCGGATCATGGACAGCAGTCTGCAACTCTTTGTGGCGCAAAGTTTGTGGATCGGCACTCGCCAATTACACTGGGCTAGTGTGGGACGAGCAAAACTGTAGAAGTGTGGTGTTTAATTGGACCAGGTGTGAATGTAACATCCTTGGAAGCTGTATATGTATAAAAATATAGATTCCAACGGTGTTAAATTAATACCACAATTTTTGCAATTCAACATCAAGAATTACAATAATACTGATACAATGATACACGGAGGAGCAGCCTCAACAGCGTCATGAACTTACGACAGTGACAATTCTCCATGACATTTGGCTTTTGCTGCACATATTCTTGGAGTAAAGAACAAGGTTCGAGGGTGTATACTTCATCTCACAGACAGTTCAAAAGCGTTGCTGTGCAGTGTTACTCATCTGCCATCTTTGGTGAAAATGGACGACAGTGGGGCACCTAGGATTTATTGGGGGGGCTTGAATCGTAATTTATCCCTTACATACACAAGTTCTCCCCGCTCTGTGTACTGCATATCAGAGCCAGAGTGTTATGATATTAGTGTATATTGTATATTGCATCTTTTGTTTTTTTAAAAAAAGAATTCTTTCAATTGGAAACCTCTTGGGGGTCCAAGCCCCCTCGCCGAACACCCCCCCCCCCCGGGGCGCGGCCACTGAAGGACAAGGCTTCCACTGGCATTAATGCCATGTTTAGAACTGACTTGATGTGCAATAAATGATATAACACCAGATAGCATATATCTCACATTAATACCAGGTAGGGGAGGGCTTATCTTTCTGTGTTTTTTTCCGCAGTGGTAATTCCGATGGTTATCTCAGTAGGCCTATCATTCACAGAGGAGATGACGGTGACGTCCTTCTATACCCTCAAAACGCCATTGTCAGCGGCATCAGCTAACCTGAGGCCACACCGTTTTCCTGTTGGCCGTAATTACTCTGAATGTTTTCGGAACACAAAAAAATGTTTCCACCGTCAGTGGCACAGTTGAAGTATCCATGGAAACATTCGTCGAGATCGTCAAACGTTCTCCTTGTTCGCAAAGATGTGCGCGGGAATTTTGAACATGTTTAAAATTTCCGGCGGCTGTTGCCATTTGACTTCCATCTAGCCAGATCATCACAAAATAGTCTCAAAGCCTTTGCCAAACCATCTCCAAAAGGTTGCCAACTTTTGCCAACTGAAGAAAAAATATGACTTGAACTTTGTGCTGGTTGTGGAAGGCCCCAGGCTGGTCAGGGCGGAAGACCAAAGTATGGAGCCGAGGCTGGTCTCGAAGGTCCATCCGGTGGTCCTGCACATCCCTCTTCTCCAGAGGGCAGATGCAGACTGATGCTGACTTCAGTTTGGCCAGGGGGCTTATACCAGCTGTTTGGTAACTGCGAAATGTGATTCTCGTCAATGGCTGCAAGATGAATTGTGCGACAGTTTCCAAACGCGCAGTCCCCTCACGTGGTTCTTTGTGAGCGCCAAACCATCTCTAAACTGTAGCGCGAGCGTCTCAGAGGGTCAGACGAATGTCTTATGGGTCCAGTCCACTAATTCAAGCCCCATTCAAAACAGTGTAAAATCAGCACCGTTCAGGGCCCAATAGCATGCACGCCAATATCCCTGAGATTTCTGAAATACAAGTTAAATTCTTGTCTGGTCACTTATCTTTCAATTTCTTTTCAATTTTTTTTCTGGGTTAACCAATTACATTTTTGATTATTCCCACAAACAAAATCACCCGCCCCAAAAAGTGATTTTTCCGAAGTCTGATTGCAGCCATTTTTCAAGTGGCAACCCTCAACTTTCTCAGGCACTTAGGGCCATTTTTCAACCGTAGTTTTTAGCCCTTCTGCTCTCATATGAAAGCTCAAAGACCCAGGGAGTCGATTTACACGATTTCACCATTTTGGGGGCCAAACAATCTCCTTTTTCAAAAGAAACTGCGGGGGCACTTTTAATGCTAATGAGCTGATCAGAAATTCTCACTTGAATTAATGGTCTGCACCCTTATACGCAACAGAAAATTGACTACAAGTTAACTGAAATCGTCGCGAATCTTTTCGCACGACCGTCACAAGGCATTCGCACAAACGTTACAAAACAGTTGCAGAAATTCATGACATGATGTAGTCGTGGCTTTTCAGTTCTCTGGTGAAAGTGCCACGAACCCAGTTCACAAATTTAAAGCCCGCCAAAGTCGCCAACTCTAGCGTAAGTCCCAACCTTATCTCTTGCATTTACAAGCGCCCAGTACTAGGTCGGCCAGTGGGACCAAATCGTTACTCTGTGGCACCCTCGATCCCATAAAATCAAGCAGTGCGCTGCCACGACCGAGCTGCTCCTTAACCTAGCTCTATGGGTTAAACAAGTCAACAGCACACTCAAGACCTTGTTAAAATCACTTGTTAATATAATGATCTGAGTCATATGCCGCCAAACTAAAAGGTTAAATTACCGTAGGCCTAAACTCTCCCAGTGTTATCCGCTCCGAACAAAAGAGGGCGTGTGCTTTTAGTACAAACCGCATAGGCGTGCGTTTATAATAATGGAGATCAACGGCGCGTTTGCCGCGGAGTACGCTAAGTACGCGTAATGAATTTATTCCTTATAATTATGTATGGTCTGCGTACATGCAAAACGCGTGCAAGAACGCGCTCAGAAAACTTAAACCATCTGTCTTTCTTTTGCTGCTTGGGGGTGCACTTCAACTCGGGCGGATAGTACGCTTTAGTCTAATGCGCTTACACAATACTCAGAGTCACGATATGCTTTTTTTAACGTAGCTTCGAGCTTCTTTGGTTCTCGATCGAAAGGATTTCGCGTTGCAATCAGATCGAAACTTGATGATTTTGCGTAGGCCCAAGATATGGTGTTATTTCACCCACCTAACATAACACACTCGATTTCACTGAAAAGCGAATAATAAAAGTTGGAGGAGGATTTGGCAGAATGTCCGTAGTTTTCGAGAAAACGAATCACAGGCCCTAAACGTTGAAAATCAAAACCATGAAGTGTACAATGAAACTCATTTTCTTGCAAGGGCGTCAATCCGTTTTGAAAAGTGGGCCGGGACCTAGCCCTCATCAGAACAAAATGCGAGTGCGCCGAAACGCAAAGCCCTGAGTGGTGTGGGATCCGGGGCAAGGACCCCCAGTAAATTTTGTAATATTCTGTATTCTGTGGTGTGATCTGAGACAATTTCTGGCTACTTTAGCCAGGTTTTTTAACAAATGCTTTTGCAAAGTATACATTTTCATTTAGGTTTGCAAAAAAAGTGGGAGGGAACAACTGATATAGTATTCCCCCACTTAGAAAAGGGTGGAAGGGAGACATGTCCCCCCCCCGTCCCCCACTGCTGTGTTGCGGGAAGCCCTGTAGCACTTGCTGTTGAAGAGTTTTCGATAGAACGAGGTTGGTCGTTCACAACCTCAGTGTACCATGTCAAGGGCGGACGCCGTCACGTACATACGCAGCAGGTGGCGCCATCCGACACGGCAAGATCAGTCAGAAACGGCCCTTTGCCACCTCTTCATATTTGGCAAGACAGTCTCAGAGCTCGTATATCGATTACTAACAGCAAACATGTGTGGTGTTTAAGGTGACTACAACGAGCTACTGAAGTCTAACAATGAATGGCACGCCCACGGCACATTTTGGTTTCCAACTTGGGTCAGGAAGATTTCCTAACGAAAATGTGAAAATGCTGCTGGGAAAACTAAATCGTGGATCTGTGGACTTATTGATGCATTTTCAATGTCATGTTGGATTTTGCTAACGCTACATGTTCGGAGGTGCGTCGCGTGTGGCCGGGGTTTAATCATCCCTTGATATCCGTATATTATGCATCTGCATGCACTCTTGCTACTGATCAGCCCTAATGGGCAGAGCCAAAAGTGTGAGCACAGGGGCTGACTATAGGGCCCACACAGACGAGGAAGGGAGCGTGATTATGTTTTTTGTTACACGATATAACGTACATTCTCTACAACCGAAACAAACTCGTTCTCCTGGTGCCGTAAACGAGGCTACACTGCACCACGTGTCGCTTCTCGAATCTGCTGAACTCTGCTTGAGATTGCAACCTATTTCAACTTTCATTCCGACTGTGACTTGTTCCACACACTGTACCTTAAATGTCATTCCCTTGTTTATGCTGCCCCCTGGCCCTCATAACAATGGGTATAAACATCGTCACGTGCCATATAGGTTACGAGTACATGTCATCAGCGTATCTTCAGTGACACTTGACATCGGGCGGCCACATGTTTTCTGTGATTTACGGCCCTTCATCATTCAGACAAACCGAAGAATTATGTTACAAGAATAGGAAGTCAAATGTCTACGGAACATATCGACTACAGGATAAAGCTATGGTACGCCTAAAGCAAAATTTACAGTCCGCGATCCACTACATAGCCATCAGATGCATGTGTTTTTATTGTAAATCCTACCAACATGGTTTTACACGTACGTACGCAGAATAGCTTCTAGATGCATATGAAAAACCACTGGTCAATCTGCACATTTTACGCTACCATTTCCCCATCGTGTACACTTGCAATTGGTTTGCCATATCCCAATCACAAGCCAATCAGAAAGCAGGAAGTGATGCAATGACAGACCAATGGGGGCCTCCTCGCAGAGTCTTCGGAATGACCCTCACACTCCAATCAGAGACACCGCGGAGGAGGCTGTCGTTGGGCTGGTAGGCATCAGAGTTTGGGTTTCACTCCGTGCACGGAAGACAGTCCAGGTGCTGTGGATGCGGCCGCGGTGATTATCAAGAAACGGCGAATTCCAAGTTTGAGCTGCCTGCATCGTGGCCGGTAAGTGATGGCAACACAGATGTCTTGGATAGGTAATATGGATTTTCAGACCAAATCAGTGCACCATAATGTTCACTTCCAATCGTATTACGTACATCAGACTTCCCTGGACACTTTATCCTTGTATTTTTGTTGTTATCGTTGCTAGTGTTGGAGTTCATATGTATAAATTAAATGCATTGCATTTCATTGACCATATTTACAGGTCATGTTTGTGGCAAAAAAGTTTAAATGTACTTAGATTGCCAAATATTATTATGAGTTTTTGCAGGACAATGGAAACGAGCATTATTTTTGTATTGTAAGTTGTCTTCAGATTGAAATCTTACCATTTCCTTATATATTGTAGTTTTTATTTTGGTCTCACAAAACTCTTTTCGGCTATTTGAGACGAAATCGAAAAAAATCAAAAGAACGTGAAAAATTAATTCTTGTCAGGTACAACCAAAATTTCCCGATCACATTTTGGAATTTCTTAGAACTATATCACGTCAACTCTTTTGAATCATATTAGTGACACATTCACGAGAGAGTAAAACACATTCACAATAGAGTGGCTTTCTAAAGAAAACACTAAACCTTTGTAATGATCAGTGGTGGAAAAATCGGCTTGCTACCTTTTGCCACAGTCGATGATAGTGACGCATGTTGATTTTCGGACGATTGTTCAGACGGAAATGGGTCTGCCCGCCAATCAGTTTTTTTGCCACTGGAAGTGAAAGTTGTGTTAATTGGCATAATTCTGTGTCTGTCAATCAACTACTGAGCATTGTGGGTATGACCCCGCACAAGATTATAAATTTGAAATTCAACTGCATGAGAAGTCTTGAGCTTAAACCTTGTCTCGAATTGAATTGCCTTGCGCTGTTTTCATAATCATTCATGTTTGAGAAGTAGGACGTTTATGGCGTAGAAATGACCCCAAATAGAGGCAAGTCAACTTTGGAGGGATTTGCAACAGGGCTTAGCACAGCTGGGGTGTTAATAGTTTCAATAGACGGAAATCTTCCGTGCCTTTGGTTTTTACTGTATTTATTTGACATAATCGTTTATCATTGACTGATGGATTGATGTTTAGTCTTAAGCCCTACCTGCCCCAGTGTTGAACCTCTTAAGACGCATTTTTCTGCGTCATGTATGAACTCAACAGTCTCTCCCACTGGAGGTCGCCATAATTATGTGACTCATAAAGTAATCCTTGTTTCGTGCAATCGATTTCCATTCGACCAAATTGAATTTTTTTTAGGTTGGGCCTTATATTTAAATAAGCCAATAAGTGGATGACCGTTCACGGATTTACGCACTCGGGCAGTAGCCGCAAGTGGCCTACTTTGGGGTGGGGTGAGTTAGGGACTGTACGTACATATATTTGTATACATCGTTCAGGACATTTCGACCCATCCACCTCTACCTCAACATGCAGAGGTTGTTACTTTTGAAACCTGTAATTTGTAAAATCATTGTCGAACAGCCAGTATTTATTTTTATTATTATTATTGGTTCATTATTTCATTCCTTCGCCGCCAGCGGTGGAATTGCACAATAATTACATAAAAGACACACATACACATACTGAGTTCAAGAGATTTACAGGGTGTAGAAAATATAAAAATAAATCCAAGTAGCTTAAGATTTAAGCGTTGTCAAAGTGCACAAGTGAACCAAACAAAAAAATCAATATATAGGCCTAATTGATAAAAATTAGCAGTCTTAGAATAAAAAACATTTAGAATTTACAAATTGATGATTATGAGAACCAGGAAGTAAAACAAATAGACAGAATTGATGGACGTGGGACATAATGTATATCAGAGGGAATGGGGAAGAGGGAGAAGGAAAATATTAGGAGAGAGGAAGGGGCGGGGGTAAAATTGGTAAAAAGGAGTATCGGTAGAATACCATCGAATAAAAGAGGCAATACTTCAAATATAGCTACTAATAAAAACAGTTATATATGTGTAACAAATATGAGTTGTACTGCCGTCCTAGATTGTACCACATCAATGACTTTCATTCCACTTGTTAGTCATATACATTATGGGACATTTTTGGTACCGCCTTGTTCTACAGAAAGGCAAGAAGAACTTGTCAGAGTTTCTAAGATCTCACTGATGCATCGCTTTCCTACTTGGTGGAAACCAACTGCTGAAGTGTTCAGATGCGATGAGGGTTTTAAAGAACTTTATGCACATCTGCTCTCTCCTTTCAGCCAAAGTATTGAGGTTGCAGGCAAGAAGTGCATGTTCATAGTCTGTGTACTGCCCGCCCAGCATAATTTTACAGACTCGACGCTGATTTTTTTCGAGCGTTTCGCTTTCTCCAGCAGTTAGCCCTGAATGCAAAGTAGGAGCTGAATACTCAGCTATGGGTCTGATATAACTTGAATAAATTGTAACCATGTCCTGCAATGGTATATTAAAATGTTTCATTGTCTTTACCATATGAATCTTTCGGTTTGCTTTTTTCAGAATGGATTTAACATGGGTGTTCCATCTTAAGTCTCTGGTTATTTCGAGTCCCAAAATCTTTACTGCATTGATTGACAGCAGAGGAGAGCCATTGATTGTTAAAGATTGCTCGGTTAGGGTTTCTTTAGCAAATGTAATCTGCGTGGATGCGCATTTATCGACACTCAGTCTGATATGATTGCTGACGGCCCACTCAGCTAAATTGTCGATGTGGCATTGCATATCCGATGGATTATATTATTTTGATATACTTGAGTTGATTTACCAGTTTCATGAGTATACACATTCTTATCGTTCGCCTCCTTTTCAAAATTGTAGTCTTGTTTGTGTGGGCTTTAAGAGTCCTTTTTTTTCTCGACCTCAAGTTCGACAGAGTTTCGTAACGTCTACTGAATTTCCAGGCTTTTAAGCTATTGAGAAAATTTTTTTGTTTACCAAAGGAAACCCCAAATGTAAAACCCTTCTGTTCATTTTTTTCCACTTTTTTGGCCGACCTGCGAAAGGATTATTGAAAAGACATTTACTTTTTGAACGAAAGCACACTCCCCACACTTTTATCTCTAAACACTATCGTTTCGATTGTGCGCAACACGCAAAGACCTGTTGCCAGATACATTCAAAATAAAGTCTTATGCTGTGTGATCATTTACATTACTTATTTCATCGACTTGTTTACAGTGTCTCGCCACAAGGCTTGCAGTTATTGTATGCTTAAAAGCATGAAATATTCAGTTTGCAAATTTATTTATAGTCTCCAGCATAAAGCACAGACAAAAGGCCTCTGGACAAAAGCTAAAGTGTAAACGAATTCATACAACCACGTTCCTGAGCTTTAACCTTCCTTCTAACTCGGTGTACGTGGAACCAAAAATTGAAACCATCCTGTTTACGTTTGCTTGTCGTAGTGGTTGGTTCTTCGTTCTGTTAGTAATCAATTAATAGATGAACGATTAGGAATGCTTTTTACGCACGACTGGTTCGCTTCTCCTAAAAGTCGCTGCTGGGTGCCCGGGTGTTTTCTTCTCTTGGCATTCACGGCAGGTGCCTCTATTATGTTTTATAAGATAAACTGTCAGGGACTTCGCTTTCAAACAGGTGTCAAACAAAAGTTCTACTGGCATACATCCAACGTAAACTTCCCCGTGTAATGCAGGACCAGCGATAAACAGCGATGTGATTAGGCCTTGGAATTCACTCCTTACTGAACTCATCGTGGTCCTGCATATGATATCAGAAAATCCTCGGGACATAAGCTTCTTTAATTTTTTTTTTTTTGGCAGTTTGTTAGGTGCTCAATCTTGTTAGCTCGAAAACAGAGATCGGCACTGACGCGAAGACTAGGCAGAAGTCAAGCTGTTTTTCAGGTTCTACGAATGCCTTCACGCGTACGCGGGAAACAAGAATTTTCGTTGAGGGAAAAGTTCGCCTCCCCCCGTGGCTTTGAGAAGCAAGGCTTGTAATTTTCATGGGCACTGTGTTGCTTTGGTAGCTGTCATCTTGCACTACATAAACGGTGTTCGAGGAATGCGACTATTCAGATGTTAATGCAGAAGACGTAAATGTCGCCATCTAAAAAAAAAAGATTTAATGGATTTATTTGAAGAAGCGACATGGCACATGTTACCCATTAATCCTCCCCTCTTCAAAAACGAAAGAAAACGAAGTGACATCTTACTGATTAATGCAACTTTCCCAACAAAACTTGGTTGGGCGAGGGCCGAGTGACCTTCGTAATGGGTTAATGACCGCGGCTGAAGGACAGACAGTCGGTCGAGAAATTTGAAAGGTTGATCACAGAATTTTGAACATGGATCTCATTGGTTGTTTTCCAGTTATTTTCTGACATGCTGCGTCTTTCTTTATTTGTCTTTGTTTTGTTTTGTTTTGATTTTGCTTGCTCGTTTGTTTCTTATTTGTCTGTGGAATTAATCATCGAATTCCTTTAAATCTGAGACCGCTTATCATTTTGAATACAGTTTAATGCGACCTGAAGTGTGTTTAATATCTTAAAACCTGAACAACACGCATGTTTTGGCATTGCAAAGGATGATTACTTTTTGTTTTAAAATCGTAGTTATCCCAGTCGACAATTATAATATATACCAATCAACTTACAGGTCCTCGTTTTATTGTAGGCATGAGGCCTCATTCAGGTGATCTTCATAAATCCTCTTATTGATCTTAAATGTGTGGATTCAGGTGGAGTTTAGGAGTATCAATAGCATATATGAATGGTTGGGATGCCCAAATCTTGTCTAATCTTGCTTCGAAGAGCAACCCAGGTAAACTGTTCCAACTGATCAATGTGTAGTAGGAAAATTGGGTTATAACGGGTTCTGGTCTCGACTATCTCTAAAGTAATGACCATTTGCGTCGTTAGTGTCGAGTTGGATGAAATTGGTCACCTCTTGGTCATATTTCTCTGTCAACGGATTTGAGACGTCTTGGCTACTGCCAAGTTAGAAATCATGAAAGTCTGCATGACCCGAATTCCAATTACATGTATAAGCACGTTGCTGCCCGTAAAGCTCT